CTGATTATGTTGGCTTTCATTAGCATGGGTGGTGTAGGAGTTTACAGCACTGCCCCAACCAAGGAGGACCCATGCCCTCAGGGCTGTGCCATTCCCCTTGGTCTTATCCAGGCTCATGTCTGGCTGGAGACTTGGCATCCATGCCCTTATCTCAGCTAGCACTTCTACAAGCTCTTGCTGTCCAGGTGATGCCACGTTTCCAGCTATTTCTATTCCCATCAGCCACTTCTTAGATGCAGGACACAGCACCAAATTCTGCAGAGGAGCAGGCACAAGAATGTAATGGACCCCTTGGCTGGGCACACACCCAGACACGCATGGACACACAGAGAAAAGCTGAGATGGAATTCTCTGGCAGGGAACAGCTATGCCCTGGGTAATGCAGCCAGCATTCCGACAGTAGCAACAAAGTGGACAAATTCCACAGGTTGGGCAGGTATTAGAGCTGTTTTGAGATGCAGCACTCCACAAAAGCAGGCAAGGACTATGAGCTAAGATGGTGGTTTTTACCCTGAGCTTCAATCATCATTTTCACCCTGCATGAAATCAGAAAGGACTTCAGGATTTAAGTCGGGGAATTTAACAGCTTGCAGATGACAGACTTCTTAAACGTTTTAAATGAATCTCTGAATGAACGAAGTCCTTCTATGCCCTTCAACTGAAGCTGCTCTTGCATTTTACTTATACTGCTGCAAAAACATCTATATCCATATATTTCAAGTTCCAAATCTCTATCATTCAAAATGAGAAATAACGCAAAGGGAAAACATGGTTTAAGTTACTGCTTTTATTCTCTGCACAAGCCATTTCCTTCTCTTTGGAAGAAGCCTTTATATATCCTTAAGGAAAAGCATCCTTTCCCTGGAAGAGCACAAAATATGTACCCGACAGAGAAAAAAAAAAGAAATTAAAAAAACACTTTTATTTTCCTTGAGGTGAAAATCCTGTTTGAGAATGAGCTCTGCATTCTGAGCTGGTAACTCATCTATAAAAGCAACATCTGAGGGGACTGAGACAATGCTACACAGTGCCTGGCATTGCCTGACCCAAAGCTGCCTCAATTCAAACATGATTTCCCCAAGCAATGACACCCTTTCAGTGGGCTTCACTTGGATAAAATTTCTAGCAATCCCCACAGATATTGTGCCTGATGCACTTGCTTGCTTCCCTTTGTGCAAAACTGCCAAACTGCCCAGCTCTCCTGTTCAGTGGTCATGGCATGATGGAAGGCCACCTCTGCCCCAGCTCTCTGGGGTGTGCTCTGCCTGAGAAAACAGCTGGTGAAGCAACAGTGACAGCTTTCACAAACAAGCTGGACCCACCAGCCCAGGCTTTTCAGACAGCTATAAAACAGCTGAAGAAGGGACATGCTTGAATGCTTTAATTCAGATACAAAGGGGATGAAAAGTACTTGGTTCAACTCTTTGTTGGCAGGGAAGTCATATGGAGAGAGCTGCTTGTCTTGTCTTCTGCATTCAACTCTTGGATCCAACAGTCCCTGAGGAAGAATTCATCTCTTGAACCTGCACCAACAAGCCATGCCATACAGTAATTTCTTTTGAATCCTCTATCAAGTCTATATGGTTCAGAGCAAAATACGTAAATTATAGATGTACAATTGCAGCAAATGACCTGTATTAACTCCCAATAATGGGACTAAGCCCATGTGTCCAAATTTTCAGTTTAGTCCACAGCACTTGGTGTCCTTATTTGGCCTATCTAAAACTAGTAAGTCATCTTGGAGCAAAACACATCTAAGAGCTCTAAAAGAACACAGTGTGCATGTGAGACAGCTGCCTTTGCCCATTGAAAAGACAGACAAAATTAGTTCTCATTTTACAACACAATCCCTATTGCAACCAACAAATGAGATGTTTCTGCAGTCTGTTTTCCCCAGGAGCAGACAGCTTTGATTATACAAGCTATCCCTGCATGGATCTGGTTGCCCATAGCTTGCCAAAACCTCCGACTACTCAGGCCCAGTATGCGAGACTCAACTGCTCCGGGGTGCAAATTCTCCCTTCCCATACGAGAGCAGGAGTATGTCACTCTCACTTCACACAGGCTGCAAAGTGGAGCACAAGGTGCCAACCAGCGCCAAGTAACTCTGCTCACCCACGTCTTTACTGAATATTTTAGTTACAACACTGTTTGAGTCACATATTAAAACACATATTAAACAGCTTACTTAATCGATGTACGCTCACACAGTTACTTTACAAGAAGCAAAGAGCAAAGGGAACATGAACGTCCATCAGAGCTGTATTTGTGTAATGTGCAAGCTGCAGCTCCACCACTGCTGCATCCTGAGCTCAGAGGCAGCAGGGCCTGAAGTGTGGTGTGCTGGTCCCAGCATTGGGAATTAGGTCTCTGTGTCAGGTAACTGCTCCACAGCTGGGGCTGATCTCGCCTTCTGTAAAATGGGAAGGATCCTCTCCATTCGGTAGAGCTTGTTGAGTACTATAGATGAAAATCACTCTGTAAATTCCAAGTATTTTGACAGTTACTCCTCATAGTCATAAGACAAGGTAATGTTTAAAAAGGGGAGATCCCCTAGCACTGTACGATCTCCAAATACAACTGTACCTCTTTTGCACAGGGGTGTTTCTCTCATTCCCTTCACTGACTTGCAAACTACTGAACCAGCATATCATGAAGTACACATAATCACTGGGGTTGTGGGTCACTGAACAATGTATGCACATTTCTTTAAACCACTTTCAATTCATTTGCATGTCATTTTCTGTGCATAAACTGGATTCTGAAATGAGCAAGTTATCAGGGCACAATACACTCCCTTGAAGAAACAATCCGAGTAGCAGAATCCCTGTAGCATGCTGCCTACTGAGCAGCAGCCCAAGACCAGGAATACAATGTATCGTGAAATAAATCCCGAGTTAAAAGATAGATGTAGGGAACTAAAGCAGACACAGTCCATAGCCTAAGAAAGGACGTTTAGATTTTTTTCATAGCAACTTAATTCCTCTAGGTCTTTGATTTTATAAAATGAATACAGTACTGGTTACAAGGGATTGACTGACAGCTCTGAAGATTGAGCAGCTCTATTTTTACAACACTGAGTAGCACTGATCCTCCTTCTAAGTCAATAAAAAGATTCCCTAAAATCATGCTCTCCTGTAAGTTGTTGAAAATGTTCCTCAGCATTAAAGTCCATGCAAGCTGAGGGAATTTTTAAAATTCGTTGATTCTTCACAGGCATTTACTGAGTCCAAGGAAACAGAATTGGACCTGTGTAACTGGGAGCACAGGGGTAGGACCAACAGAAAGCCTTCCCAACAAATCCTGCTGGGAAGTCACTCAAACTTTCATGAGACAGAGCATCTTGAAATCTTGGTAGCAGATCTATACTTTCCAGCCCTTTTAATCCTTAGGAGACTGCATTCAATAGCAGATAAAGATGGAAAGAGGAATAGAAAAAATTACATCAGTAAGACCCCCAGTTCTCATTCTTGATCCTGCAAAGAGTGATTCCTGAGACAAAATGCCAACATTTTTTGGGCAACAGCAGTGTTCTGGTCTTGGCTCACAGAATAACTAATATATAGAACAGCCCAGCAAACCACCACTCATCATAACTTGAGTAGGAAAAAAAAAGATAGGCAACTTTTCTCCTTTGAATATTTCAAGTCATGCTATATTTTAAGTATTTTACAGCCTCTTCTGATACTTGCTTTAAAGCAACCAGTTTGCACAGCCTAACCCATGCATTGAATTTTCAAACATTCTTGTATCTAAATATGGCCCCTGCCCCACAGCCTGTGAATCTGGAGGGCTGACAGCAATCCGGAGTATTTTTTTTTTAATCTTTACCCTTTGTTAACAACAGTGTTGACAGAAGTGGCCTTCTATGGTGAGAGGCTTTGTCCCATTTCCTTCCCTTGCTCAGATGAGTCCAGGTCATGGACATCAGTCTACACACGCGAAGAGCAGCTTTAGCTACCTCTGACACCTTGGTGGAGAGTCATTATCAACAGACCTCAACTGTGGAGAAGGGGCTTCATGAAGAGACTGATCAACAAACACAATACTAATGTATATGGAAAACATGGGAGGGTTGCACAGGTTGATGGAACATCCTGAGTGGATAAATGAATATCTCCCCCTTTTTAACCATTATACTGAAGAAAACTACTTTTTCACAGCAGTTTCTCAAACCAGTCTCTGTTTTCTTACCTTTATGGTGACTTATGGCAGTGAAAAAAACAAAGCAAGACAGAAATCATAATTCCACTCAGAATTTACAGAGGGCCTATTCTTGCCAGGTGCTGAGTTCTCACACCTACCAAGGACAGCTGAGAGCACAAAGCAAGGCTCAGAACTGAAACTGTGGGTGGTGGGACTTCGTCGTGGGAATGTGAGCACTAGGGTGTACACTAGGGCGAAATTCTTCACAAGGAACCAAGACTGAGCACACACAAGCATAAAAGAATAAAGAAAAGAAAGAAGATAAAAAAGGACTATCCTAAAGAGCATTTCTAGGTCCTCACAAACTCAGTATCAGGTGTAACCGTCGTGCAGCTGCCACCAAGGAAGCTTTCTAAGCTAATGAAATTCCCTGTACAACTCTGCTCATGAAGTAGCACTTGATGGATTTAGTTATCAAATGGCCACAATTTTAACTGATCTTCAGTTTATCGATTTCCTTGTCTCCATGCAGAAAACGAGAGACCATTTAAAAAACTTATGTACGATGAAGTGGAAAAATACAATTCTGGGTGAAGCTTGGACAGATGAAACTGCTGGGCCACTCTTGCCAGAGGACCCTCTGCGCTCACGCTTCAGACAGTGGTGAAGGGATGCCGGCAGCAGGTCACTGCCCACCCATCCCATCAGACCATGGGAGAAGATCCGCCAGGACCCAGGCCAAAGTTGAGAGCAGAGCAAGCCTCGTCCCCAGCCGGTAGCCGGCCATCCCGGCGGGTCCAGGGCTGCCCCTCTCCGAGAAGCGGGTTCCCACGGCCCCGGCCCACCGTACTCACCCGGTCTCCTCCTCACCGGCCTTTTCCTGCCGCTGCAGAAGCGCACTTTGCTGAAGACCCCCAGCACATGCCTCTCGCATAGGGAGCGTCCGTCCTTGCTGGGGCTGGAGCGGCGCTTGGAGGCGGACACCCGGTCGCTGTTGGACTCCCTCGCTTGCCGCTTCTGCCGGATCAGCGAGCTGGCGATAGCCGCTGCCATCGCCGCTCATGGGCCCCCCGCGCCGCTCCGCTCCGGGGTGCGCCGCCCGGGCGCGCTGGGGCCGAGCCGCCGCCGCGCCCCGAGGGGACCGGGGACGGGAACGACCCGCTTAACGCGCTGCAGTCCCGAGTCCCGGCGCCGGATAGGGCTCAGCCGGCCAGGCGGAGCAGGGCGCCCGGGCTAACAACCATGGCTGGACGCTGGACCCCGCCGCCCATGGGTCTGTCCCCGGGGAGCGCAAATCCCGGCGCGGCCGGCCGTCGACAAGACCCCCGGCCGGGCTGGCAGCGCCGCGTAGATCCGACCGCCCCGCTGGCGAAGGTCCGCTGTGTCCAAAGGGTAGGGGGACGCGGAGGATCCGCGGGTCCCTGCGGCGCGGTGCCGCTCCGCTCCGCGGGCGCAGGCGGCGGCGCTTCCTCCCTCCGGCCGGCCTCCGGCGAGGGGCTGTGGGATGAGTCAGAGACCCCTCGGGCCGAGGGCAGCCCCGGCCCCGGCGCGGTGGCTCCGAGGCGCTGCGCGGCAGGGCGCGCACATGGACGCGGCTCCGCGGCCGGGCTCAGGGAGAGCCGCGCTGCATTTCTGTTCGCACTCCTCCTCTTTCTCCTATCCCCCCCTACCCACTCTGCTCTCAGAGAGGGCGGGAGGGGAAGGAAAAGGCAGCCACGGGAAAAAGCAGCAGGCCAGCAAACAAATTAANCCCCCCCCCCAAAAAAAAACCAACCCAGCAGTTTTATCAGTCAACGATAAATTGATTTATATGGATCTTTTATGGTAAAGGAAAATAATCACTCACAAGCCACTTTTTGCCCTGACTCTCCCATTTGGCTGGTGACAGAGGCATCAATCACTTGTATTGATCTAATGGTAAGCGTCTGCTGGATAACGATTTCCACTGCTCTCACAAGCACAGCTACCCCTGAGGCCATGGGGACAGAAGATATCCATCCCTCTCAGAGCTTGGATGACTTCCATGGATTTTCTTGGCATCAACCATACTCAGTCCAGAACTAGTATGAAGCGGCTTACTGACTGACATGCTCGCCCATAAGCTGTGTTGGGAAGCAGGCTGGCAGCTGAGTTTCCCATGCTCTTGAGGAAAGCCAGGAACCTGCAGCTTTTTCCCAGATTTTAGAAACAGAGTGCTTGGGGTTGCTACCTGACGCCCCAGTAACCAGTGCAGCCACACTCCATGTCAACCACCACATCTGCAAGTCATGAATGTGTGCGACACCACCCCCAGGGATCAACTGGGTAAAATGAAACCCATCTGCTGAGCTGTCGGAGCAGGAGGGAGCCTCTTCCTCCCTCCTGATTATGTTGGCTTTCATTAGCATGGGTGGTGTAGGAGTTTACAGCACTGCCCCAACCAAGGAGGACCCATGCCCTCAGGGCTGTGCCATTCCCCTTGGTCTTATCCAGGCTCATGTCTGGCTGGAGACTTGGCATCCATGCCCTTATCTCAGCTAGCACTTCTACAAGCTCTTGCTGTCCAGGTGATGCCACGTTTCCAGCTATTTCTATTCCCATCAGCCACTTCTTAGATGCAGGACACAGCACCAAATTCTGCAGAGGAGCAGGCACAAGAATGTAATGGACCCCTTGGCTGGGCACACACCCAGACACGCATGGACACACAGAGAAAAGCTGAGATGGAATTCTCTGGCAGGGAACAGCTATGCCCTGGGTAATGCAGCCAGCATTCCGACAGTAGCAACAAAGTGGACAAATTCCACAGGTTGGGCAGGTATTAGAGCTGTTTTGAGATGCAGCACTCCACAAAAGCAGGCAAGGACTATGAGCTAAGATGGTGGTTTTTACCCTGAGCTTCAATCATCATTTTCACCCTGCATGAAATCAGAAAGGACTTCAGGATTTAAGTCGGGGAATTTAACAGCTTGCAGATGACAGACTTCTTAAACGTTTTAAATGAATCTCTGAATGAACGAAGTCCTTCTATGCCCTTCAACTGAAGCTGCTCTTGCATTTTACTTATACTGCTGCAAAAACATCTATATCCATATATTTCAAGTTCCAAATCTCTATCATTCAAAATGAGAAATAACGCAAAGGGAAAACATGGTTTAAGTTACTGCTTTTATTCTCTGCACAAGCCATTTCCTTCTCTTTGGAAGAAGCCTTTATATATCCTTAAGGAAAAGCATCCTTTCCCTGGAAGAGCACAAAATATGTACCCGACAGAGAAAAAAAAAAGAAATTAAAAAAACACTTTTATTTTCCTTGAGGTGAAAATCCTGTTTGAGAATGAGCTCTGCATTCTGAGCTGGTAACTCATCTATAAAAGCAACATCTGAGGGGACTGAGACAATGCTACACAGTGCCTGGCATTGCCTGACCCAAAGCTGCCTCAATTCAAACATGATTTCCCCAAGCAATGACACCCTTTCAGTGGGCTTCACTTGGATAAAATTTCTAGCAATCCCCACAGATATTGTGCCTGATGCACTTGCTTGCTTCCCTTTGTGCAAAACTGCCAAACTGCCCAGCTCTCCTGTTCAGTGGTCATGGCATGATGGAAGGCCACCTCTGCCCCAGCTCTCTGGGGTGTGCTCTGCCTGAGAAAACTGCTGGTGAAGCAACAGTGACAGCTTTCACAAACAAGCTGGACCCACCAGCCCAGGCTTTTCAGACAGCTATAAAACAGCTGAAGAAGGGACATGCTTGAATGCTTTAATTCAGATACAAAGGGGATGAAAAGTACTTGGTTCAACTCTTTGTTGGCAGGGAAGTCATATGGAGAGAGCTGCTTGTCTTGTCTTCTGCATTCAACTCTTGGATCCAACAGTCCCTGAGGAAGAATTCATCTCTTGAACCTGCACCAACAAGCCATGCCATACAGTAATTTCTTTTGAATCCTCTATCAAGTCTATATGGTTCAGAGCAAAATACGTAAATTATAGATGTACAATTGCAGCAAATGACCTGTATTAACTCCCAATAATGGGACTAAGCCCATGTGTCCAAATTTTCAGTTTAGTCCACAGCACTTGGTGTCCTTATTTGGCCTATCTTAAACTAGTAAGTCATCTTGGAGCAAAACACATCTAAGAGCTCTAAAAGAACACAGTGTGCATGTGAGACAGCTGCCTTTGCCCATTGAAAAGACAGACAAAATTAGTTCTCATTTTACAACACAATCCCTATTGCAACCAACAAATGAGATGTTTCTGCAGTCTGTTTTCCCCAGGAGCAGACAGCTTTGATTATACAAGCTATCCCTGCATGGATCTGGTTGCCCATAGCTTGCCAAAACCTCCGACTACTCAGGCCCAGTATGCGAGACTCAACTGCTCCGGGGTGCAAATTCTCCCTTCCCATACGAGAGCAGGAGTATGTCACTCTCACTTCACACAGGCTGCAAAGTGGAGCACAAGGTGCCAACCAGCGCCAAGTAACTCTGCTCACCCACGTCTTTACTGAATATTTTAGTTACAACACTGTTTGAGTCACATATTAAAACACATATTAAACAGCTTACTTAATCGATGTACGCTCACACAGTTACTTTACAAGAAGCAAAGAGCAAAGGGAACATGAACGTCCATCAGAGCTGTATTTGTGTAATGTGCAAGCTGCAGCTCCACCACTGCTGCATCCTGAGCTCAGAGGCAGCAGGGCCTGAAGTGTGGTGTGCTGGTCCCAGCATTGGGAATTAGGTCTCTGTGTCAGGTAACTGCTCCACAGCTGGGGCTGATCTCGCCTTCTGTAAAATGGGAAGGATCCTCTCCATTCGGTAGAGCTTGTTGAGTACTATAGATGAAAATCACTCTGTAAATTCCAAGTATTTTGACAGTTACTCCTCATAGTCATAAGACAAGGTAATGTTTAAAAAGGGGAGATCCCCTAGCACTGTACGATCTCCAAATACAACTGTACCTCTTTTGCACAGGGGTGTTTCTCTCATTCCCTTCACTGACTTGCAAACTACTGAACCAGCATATCATGAAGTACACATAATCACTGGGGTTGTGGGTCACTGAACAATGTATGCACATTTCTTTAAACCACTTTCAATTCATTTGCATGTCATTTTCTGTGCATAAACTGGATTCTGAAATGAGCAAGTTATCAGGGCACAATACACTCCCTTGAAGAAACAATCCGAGTAGCAGAATCCCTGTAGCATGCTGCCTACTGAGCAGCAGCCCAAGACCAGGAATACAATGTATCGTGAAATAAATCCCGAGTTAAAAGATAGATGTAGGGAACTAAAGCAGACACAGTCCATAGCCTAAGAAAGGACGTTTAGATTTTTTTCATAGCAACTTAATTCCTCTAGGTCTTTGATTTTATAAAATGAATACAGTACTGGTTACAAGGGATTGACTGACAGCTCTGAAGATTGAGCAGCTCTATTTTTACAACACTGAGTAGCACTGATCCTCCTTCTAAGTCAATAAAAAGATTCCCTAAAATCATGCTCTCCTGTAAGTTGTTGAAAATGTTCCTCAGCATTAAAGTCCATGCAAGCTGAGGGAATTTTTAAAATTCGTTGATTCTTCACAGGCATTTACTGAGTCCAAGGAAACAGAATTGGACCTGTGTAACTGGGAGCACAGGGGTAGGACCAACAGAAAGCCTTCCCAACAAATCCTGCTGGGAAGTCACTCAAACTTTCATGAGACAGAGCATCTTGAAATCTTGGTAGCAGATCTATACTTTCCAGCCCTTTTAATCCTTAGGAGACTGCATTCAATAGCAGATAAAGATGGAAAGAGGAATAGAAAAAATTACATCAGTAAGACCCCCAGTTCTCATTCTTGATCCTGCAAAGAGTGATTCCTGAGACAAAATGCCAACATTTTTTGGGCAACAGCAGTGTTCTGGTCTTGGCTCACAGAATAACTAATATATAGAACAGCCCAGCAAACCACCACTCATCATAACTTGAGTAGGAAAAAAAAAGATAGGCAACTTTTCTCCTTTGAATATTTCAAGTCATGCTATATTTTAAGTATTTTACAGCCTCTTCTGATACTTGCTTTAAAGCAACCAGTTTGCACAGCCTAACCCATGCATTGAATTTTCAAACATTCTTGTAT